CACCCCAGGGCATAGAGAGGAAGAAAGCACTCAGTACAGGATAGACAATACGGCATGTTTTATAAATATATATAAATATAAATGTATATTCTGTCCTACATAGACTATAGATACACACACACACACACACACACACATATATAGGACAGAATTAGGCATTCTACGGCAGTTTTGACATAACTGAGTGATAGAGGGGATAGAAAGTGACTCTGTGTTTGGGGGACTTCTGTATCACATGACTGGTTTTAATCAACAGTTGACAACAAGCCTAGAGGCACTTGTGAAATGAAATCATATGTAGTGTTTTTCATTATTTATATTACTGGAGTGAATGGAAAGTGACACTACAAACTTACTTAAAAAGAATCCTTAGCGGACATAAAGAAGTAATAAAGGTATTTCATTTCTCTCCTCTTCTTTTTCTAGAGGAAAAATAAAAGACTCATAGCCACGTAGTTTGAGGTGAGAAATTCTCTAGAGGGATTGAAACGTATACTGCCTTTCATTCCGAGATTTGAAGACTCTTTAAATCCAAATAAAATCACGTGTTTAGATTTGATGTTCATAGTATGACCAGAAAAGTGCCTAAATTGAGTGGTATCACACATAGCAATCAAGTGACTCATTAGTTCAAGATAAATATTGGAATCACTTATTTGGTGGACTTTGTGGGTTTTCAGTTTACTTACAAATTCTCTATGTAGGATGGCTTTATTCATGCATTTGCAGCTTTCTGTTTCCTGTACGACCTTAGACAAGCATGCACAATTTGAACGCATCTCACTTAATTCATATCCTTGTGTGGTAAGGTAATTTAGGGTGATCGCTTTTTTGCTAGTTTTCTGCTATGCACTGTCTTATTGTAAGTACCAAACAACTGTGGGAATTGCAGATCAGTGGTTGATATAGCTCCCCCTTCTTGAAAATATTACTATTTAGTTGTGCAAACATTTACTTAGTGAATATGTGTACGCCTGACGAGAGTACAGACTTTCAATCCAAAAGGTGATGGGCCAAAGTGTTTCTAACCTTGAGTTCTCTTTTGCGATTCTTAAATTTCCTCTGTAATTCATTCCTTCTGTCAGTGGTGTGAGCAGAAAGGGAAGAGGGAGAGAAACACAGACCCTTGGCACCTGGTTGCCACGCCTCACTGGAGGGTACCTGCAGGTGGCTATATTACCGCATATACGGTTTACCTTGCCCTGTTGGCCACCCTAAAGGGATTGTTAACTTTCATTCACAAGGCTGAGTTAGGTAAGTGCCAAGTTTGAGAGTAGCTGACTCACTAAGGAGGCAGAACACTACTGCGGGGGAACGGAATTTACTGGAATGTCCCTGAGAGCTTGTTTGGAGGTTCTAGCAGGCGAGCGCAGCTACTCGTATACCCTTGACCGAAGAACGGTCCTCTCCTCTATCGGGGAAGGTCGTCCTCTTCGACCGAGCGCGCAGCTTCGGGAGGGACGCACATGGAGCGGTGAGGGAGGAAGGGGACGCCCGCCTAGCCAGCCAGATCAGCCGAATCAACCCTGGCTATCGATGGGGTGACAGATGTCGCAGCCAGATCGCCCTCACATCCTTACTGGAATGTCCTAGTGCGCTCAGAGAAAAAGCTAAAATAAGCAAAGGAGAGGAGCAGTGGAGGAGGATTGACATTTTGGTCACCTGCGTTGGTGGAAGAAATGAAAAATCCCTTTCTCTACAAAGCAGCCCATACATCCCTGCCTCGGGGAAGAAGGATAACTTAGTGCAGAAGCTCTGAAAGAGGGCGCCTGGGTGGCCCAGTTTGGTTAAGCGACTGCCTTCGGTTCAGGTCGTGATCCCGGAGTCCCGGGATCGAGTCCCGCATCGGGCTCCCTGCTCGGCGGGGAGTCTGCTTCTCCCTCTGACCCTCTTCCCT